CCGATTGGCTGGGATTTTATATCGGCTCTGTTTATTTCGCCTTCGTTGCCCAAAATCATGTCAAATTCTCTGTTCGGGTCTTGTAAAACTGTAAAATTTAGCTTGAATTTTGTTCGGAAATAGGGTTCGTCAAAGCAGGGAAAAACAGTCCTCGCAAAAGATGACTGAAACTGCGTTGCCAAACCAATCGTTTTGTTGTTGTTTTCATCAACTAGTAAATAAGCTCCAATTCTATTTTCCATACTTTCAAAACTATTCACACGACTTTCAAATTCGACAAATAAAATAAAGTCGGTTGTTAAATCTTCGCTTAAAGTTACGACCAGTTTTTCATATTGTGGAAGCAAACCAAACCCTTTCTGCTGAACAAGTTTGCCATCAATTGATTTAAGCTGGACTTTTCTAACAGTAATATTATAACTGTTAAGGGTAACTTCGTTGATTTTTGTTTTCTGTTTGTTTAGAATATAAATTTCAGTTGTTCCTGTAATTTTCTGGTCTTTGGTAAGGTAACTAAGGTTTACTTTTTGGCTATCCGGGTAAAAGTTTATGTCAAGTCGATAATTTTTGTTGGATGTTCCATTCGAAGATTTTTGCAACATTTTCTGATCAATTTCGTTGCAGCGTCCAATATACAGAATGGCAATCAAAACAATTATTTTTGAAATCATAATTCCAATTTTGAGAGAAAACCAAAAACACGAAAAGTCACAAAGTTTCTGATTTCTGACTTAAATATACCAACTCGTTTTGAAAACTGGAAAAAAACGGCGACTAGGATTTCGAAGGCAATTGATGTTGTTTTAACCAAATTAAAATATACAGTTAAAAACTAATATGATTCAAATCTTCTGCTATGGATTCAGTAGCAAATAAACTAAGCAAATTGTATTTTTTGTTCATAAAAGTTTCAAATTAAATTGAGTTTTTGACCCTTTTTATGATGAGCGTGAGAAAGCTGTTTGAAAGAAATTGTGATGCTGTTTTATTCGCATTAGCTGATGAAAGTTGTAGAAAGCCTTTAAATTTTTTTGATATCGTCACATAAACCTGAGATTATTTTATTATCAGAGCGAACTCAATTTTACAGCAGAAAATTTGCAACTGAGCAGACTTTTTTGATATGTAAAGACAGTTTTTAATACCTGTGAGAAAAAAAACCTCAAAAACAGCAACCATTAATTTTTCTGCTCATTTTAGTTTGAATTTGTTATCTTGACTAGCATGAAAACATCAATAAATGATTGTGTGAAGTCAAACAAGTTAAGGTCGAGTTTTCCCATCTGACATTCATCAAAAACACAGTGATCAAAATAACATCTCGGCTCTTGGCTCGCGATTTAATTTTCGACCGAAGCCAATTATGCTTCACCTAAAAGTTATACAAGAAAAACATTCGACCCTGTTTGATAAAAAAAGATAATTTTGTTTGACTGTGTTCAACCGAGTAATATTTTGAATCATAAAAAGTATGACAGGTGAAAGATAGCTCTTCGAATTTAAAACGGCCAGCAAAATAAGTCCCCAACCATAAGTCCAAAACACTATTGATGAGTTGAAGAAGTCTTAGCTTTTTTGATTTGATGTCATTCATATTCGAAGTGTTTTTTTTTTCCGGATTTTTCCACTGTGGGATAATTTTTGAAAAAATCCACCCGAAAAAAATAATTTAACAACTGTATAAGACTACGGACTATTTTATACAGCAAATTTGACAAGAAATGCTTCTCGACAATGTTCCACCGATGTTATACTGATAAATCCAGTTCAAAAAAAATATTTTATGACATATTTCGGTGAAACACAACGTGAGTGACAACGAACACAACTAAAACTTGGCCTTGAATTTTGAAGAAAATGAAGCAAGTTTTCTTCCTAGATTGTTTTTTTTATGCAGTCAAACTTCGGGTGTTAACTAAAATTGTGATTAACTTACAGTTGCCTTAATGAGTTTTTCTATTCCCCCTGACAACCATTTTTTAAATGAAGTTTTTGAGATAGTTTTTAAACAAAAAATGTTCTTCATACCTGGCCTGAATATGCCAGCCTTCATAATATAACTCCCCTCCCCGCCTCGCATAGTCGCAAAAATCTACCGCCTAACTACAGCGTAATTTTACTGTTGCGAGGCGCTTTTGAATTCTATCAGGTCACATTAGTTAAAACGACCCTTAACAAAAAACTCAAAACACCATTAACTGTTTCATCTCAAACTATCTTTGAGAAAAAGGATAGTGACTAAATAATTGCTATCAAATCTTTGAGACATTCAGCCAAATGACAACTTAAACTGGAGCCAGAATCACTGCAGCTACTAACTGATACTAATCATCCGGAATGCAGCAATAAAACCTCAAAAACTTGCTAACAAATTACAATTCGTGATAGATGCAACAGATTTAACTGATCAACAAACTGGCTTTCATCGGGATTCGAAACCGGGTCTATACATTTAATATCCACGTCAAACTTTTTAACCACAAAACCAACTGGTCTGCAATTTGAACCGGGAAAAAATACGCTCACATAAAAGAAGTAGCCGTTCAATAGCAGTTGTTAGCGTTGCTATCATTCGACTTCGCAAATCAAACTAAAAATCAGATGAGATCAATTGTATTTGATTTGAGCAAACACTTACTGAAAAAATTCCGACACTGTCCCGTCGGTCTTGTTGGTCCAATCTGGATTGTGAGAGTAAAAATAAGAATAGACAATAAGCGAACCCTTAGCAGTAGTTGTCGGTAACATTTATATTTGAGAAAACTTCGATTATCAAAAAACAAAAATAGTGTTTCGATATATTAAAAATTTGCTCTCTTTTTTGCCAAAAAATGCCAAATTCCAGTCTGCCAAGATCCCACTGTAATTGAAGTAAGCTCAAAAACGGCAGTGGATTTTATGCCTTATGTCAAAAAATTTGAAATTTGTTCGAGGGATCTTCAAAAATCAGAAATTGTAAATAAAGATTTGGAGAACCCAGAAAATTTGCTCAAAGTCAAATTTGTCGTACCCATGCACAAAACAACCACGGGTCGGGAAATAAAAGAAAAATGGGTTTTTAGCGGATACGTCTCGAAAAAACCTAGGTTTTTTGGAATTTGTTGTCGGCGGGGGGGGGGGGGCTGAAGTTATGCTACAGGTGAGCTACCGTAGAATTTTGCCCGGAACAGAATTTGGTCAGATGGTTGGTTACTTTACCTCCCGTTATGTAGATTGAGACCAGCCAGTCGTGTTCACGAATCTGTAAATCACAGCGAAACGTCGAAGGATCCGATCACCCGCGTGAAAGAAAGCTACGAACGGTGTTATTGATTGCTGTTTATTTGCCGATATTGCTGAATGCATCAAGAGACAACATATTTGAAGCCATAGAGTTGTTTTTGACAACCCCATAACTCAATTTAAACTGCATTAATCTTTAGTTTAAAACTCAGATCAAAACTTTGAATCTTACCTTTCCTCCTTTCTGTTTATAGGTTTAAACCTAAAATTAATGAAGCTCTTTACTGGTCATTAATTTCTTAATCTTACTCTTTCCAGACGGGTTGGTATATTGGCTAAGATGTGTGACTCAAAGAATAGAGGCTAGGTTTCGAGCCACTCGGGGATCACATTTTCTGTTGTTGACCAGATTTTTTTTGTAGAGACTGAAATTTTTGCCTCTCATTGTAAGTTATCACCAAATCCTCAAATTAATTGGCTTAGACCATCACCGGACTCAACCCCCCCCCCCCAACCCAAACAGCGATACTACAAGAGTATCATTGCTTATCTTAACTGAAAAAGTCTTGAAAAACCTTTCACCCAAGTTTCCTATGATTTCGATAGCTGCTTCTGCGCAATTAACAAAATTCGATTCAATTTTAGCATGACATATCTGTCTCGGCCACATTCAAGGTATTTGATATTTTCAGTAGATTTACGACCCATTCCAATGATTAATTGCGGCACCTGATTCTGCATGGAAAAAAGAAGAGAAAAAACTAGATCACAAGAATAATAAGTTCCTCACCATTTTTAAATGGTCGGTACAAAGCCCAAAACTTAGCTTGATAAAATAGCGCGATATATTCCTGAAAAGAAAACCGAAAATGATCACAAGTAAAAAGGTAGTCTCCACTACGTTTAAAGACGCTTAATGATTCAGATTTTCATGAGTTCAACTCAAAACTTCGTTTTGTTTAACTTTTCTGGCAAAGCTAGTGTAATCAAGCTCGGAGTAAAAAAAAACATTCGAGCAATCAGAAAAAAATTCGGCTGTAATTTAGAAATTTCAATTGAGAAAACACCAAACTTATCCAGCTGCCTGATAATAAACAATCTGTAACCTAGGAAACCTAAAAACTGGACGGCCTTTTGCAATTTTCAAACAAGAGTGCGATGAATCAAATTGCTGAAGTTGCCGAAAATGCGGGAGAAGTTTATAGTACTGTACTTGTACTGTAGAAAATATGTTCAGCTTCACTTCAAAACGGCAGCCTAATAAATACAAAACTAAACTGACAGATCATAACGAGGTCAAAAAACCAGCTCTCTGAATTTATATCTGTAGACAATCCTCGAAAAAACAAATTTGAGCGTGATCAAATTTCGATTTATTTTCTGGTTGAAAAATAAGCGAAAATCATCACCTTCGATTTATTTTCCGGTTGAAAAATAGGCGAAAATCATCACCTTCGATTTATTTTCTGGTTGAAAAATAAGCGAAAATCATCACCTTCTTTGACTCTACCTTAGCGAGTGAATGATTCACTTAAATTACTTTCGAGCGACAAACATCCGGAATAGGCAATTTAGTCAAGGATTTTTTTCGGCAAACAGACACTCGTGGTTATTTCGTAAACTTGACTTTTCGGTACAAGAAATAAACTGCCGTCTGTTACACAAGAACCAGTTAACATTAAATTGAACACATTTTAATTAAATAGTTCTTTTTAAAAAGCTTCAGAATCGAATTTTCAAGAAACAGAAATATTGAAGTTTAATTATTCTAGGTGCAATGATGAGACTATAAATCACTTTAACAAAATAAAAATTAAACGGCAAATTAAGATGTATCTTACTCATGGTTATAAGAATGAGTTTTATGCTAAACAAAATCGATTTGAAGAGTTTTTTTAGTTTTCGTTGTCAAATCATCGCATAGGTTTTGCGGATTCTTTAGTCGCTGATCGATTGTTAATTGTTTCAAAGCCAACTTGATGTTTTACTAGCCATAACGAAAATGTTTTTCAAATGATTCGATGCTATCGCAGAATGTTCCGATGTCTTTATTGTTCTCTTCAATTTGCGATTATTAACATCTTCTGCTTTGTTTTTCGATGTCCATGTAGTTTGTGTCATCCAAGCGAGCGTTCTCAAAACTTTTCATCCAATCAGCTTCACTTGGCGTGAACACTTCTTAAGTGCCATCAGTTTAATCAAAGACATCTTTTTCTCGATGACTTGACTCCAAAACAACTGCGACTTTTCGCAATTGCTACGGCCTTTCACTTTGGTCTGAAATGTTATTTGACGCCGCGGTTGCACGTCTTCTATCGCTGAATCGCGGTGGTTTTGAGGGCTCGTCGCTTTTAGTCGCTTTGGTTCCTTCATTTCCAGTAGAGAATCCTTGCTTTGGGTTTCTTCGATCCAAATTACCACCACCCGAAATCCTAGCCGATTGTTGTCGAATCGCAACCGCCGATCTTTCGTTCCCATAACGCTCTCCACTATATTCCATTCCGCTTCTAGAATAACTGTTATACTGGTCATAACCTTTGCTACTGGAACTCGGAGGACCTCGGTTCCTTGAGTTCCAGGAGCTCCCATGGAACCCTGCAGTTCCTCGATCATAGAAGCCCCCTCCGGAATATCCATCATCGTACCCTTGGTTCCAATCATAGTCATCATTTCTACGATTCCCTCTTTCTGGATTTGCTCTTTGTGCCTTTGAGTTCCTCGAACTCGGATCTTTTATGTTCGGATTCCTTGCGGAATTTCGACCACTGTTATCATTGAAAACTTCTGACCTCACATTTTCGGTTCTCGAGTTTTCAGCTTCGTTGCCTTCTTTTTCAAAGAAATCGTCCCTCGTTGCTTTCGATGAGGTCGGATCGTCTTTGTCTTTTTCTTTCTTCGCTTCGGCCAGTTTCGAAGTATAGTATCTGATTGCATTTGGGGGTTGCTGCTCTTTTTTGGGTGGTTCTTTTCTGCGTTCTCCGCCGCGCGAAGACGGGTAACCTTAAAACAACTTCGATTACAACAAACCATTTTTATTAAAACTTTAAATATACATATATTTTTTTTCAGTTCCATTGATTTAGTTTTATTATGCCCCTAAAATTTAATTGAACACGAGCTTAAATAGATATCAACTCAATCAAGTTATGATTCATCAAAACTTATACTTCTTCCCAAGCTCATCATCACTGAAAAATAATTCTCATCCAATTGCTATTTTTATCCAGCTAAAATTTTCTTGAATTCAACCAACTGTCCACTGTTATATGCTAAAACAATAAACAAGACAAATTGGTCTGAATATTTCATTTATCTCCACTAAAAGTTCAAACTGTACGCATAGTAACGTCAATAACCAAGGCTAATGAGTCAGTTTAAAAATCAAGAAAACACTCCCCTCCCCGATTTAGTAAAATTTTCCATCTCAGTGTTCACATAGCATCAAATTTGCCAAACTCTGAGTATGAAATGCTCAACCCTGATTGGTTGAAACTTAAACCTTGAGCCGAGTTCACACTCTCCCCCCATAACTGTTTTTTTTTGTGGAGAAGGTTGGTAACTTAGACGCAATATGCTTCTCAACAACACTAACTTGAGCTTGCCGAGCTGGTGCCGCTGCTGCTGTTGCCTCCTCCCCTATTCGACGGTTTGATCTCTCTAAACCCCTTCGCCCTTCCACCATTCCGCTCTCGTCTACCCCCTCCCCCACCCCCACTTCCTCCCGATCTGTCCGACCCCCCACCTCCGCCTCGTGTTCCAACTCCACTTTGCTCGTTAGCTGAAGATGAGTCGTGATCTCGGTCTAGAAACGAGTTGGCAGAGCTGCGATCCTCTGGAGCTAAAAAAAAAGATGGAAAAGTGTACAACTATGACTTTACTATTCAGTTATATCACAATGGTTGATATCTATCGTTTGGTTAGAGCTATATTTACGAACTCCCACCCCCCCCCCCCCCCAACTGTGGATTTAGATTTGTGTCTGCATTCAATAAAATGCGAATTGTGGACAGCCAATAACCGCAGATAATTGATTTCTTTGTCGCTCCATCCATTTTTCTAAATGTTCTGATGCAAAGGAAGTCGACTAGTTTTCATCATAGTTGACCAAGAATGCAAAAGTTCAAATCCTAAGAAGAAAGTCTTCTTACTTATACGGCCCAGAACAAGACTAACACAAGCGGATGAATAATAAAAGGCAAGATACTAACTAAAATGGCTCTTTATTTCATTTCAAATTATCAGGCTCGAGTTTTGTATTTTTTCCTGTTTTCAAATTTTGCGAATCTGAGCCATTAAAACAAAAAATATCCCAGAAAATGGTAAGATAATAACTTACGTGATTCCTGGTCGTTATGTTTGGCCTTCGCGCCTGGTCGGTATATCTGCAAAGACGGCAAGTCCTGTAAACCAACAGTTCCGTCATACAATTCTTAGAGTTGCTGAATTGCCAGCGCTACATTTTGGACTTAATTTGAAATTGAGACTTTTCGACCCAAAAGACAATTAAGTCACTAATTAAAGCAAAAAAAACTAAAAATCCACAAGTAATGACCGCTTGACACTAATCTAGATATTTCCAAAAAGTCTGCAGTTTAAACAAGGATAGGCGGTTGCTGTGCAAGTAGCACAGAATGTCCGACCACTTAAAAAAACTACTGAAAATAGGACGTTCTTTGTTTCTTCAAATTAGTGTCGTTTTGAGGAGGCGATGTGAAAATAAAACTATACAAATGCCTATAAAGTTAGTAAATTAGGCACAATCGCCAACAGTTGTTTGCACAAAATTTTTTTTCAAATCTGGAAATTTTTATTACCAAGGAAACGCTAAGTGAAGCTTCCAAAACTAGTTTTCGTTTATACACAAGTTTTCTTAGCCGAAATGATTAATTTTCGTATAAGAACGTTCAAAATTAGACTCGCTCGAAATAAGACTACAAATCAAAAACTGCTAATCTGGTTTTCTCGATATTGGGTAACTATTTGACATAATTAAATGCTGTTCGAATCACGACTGAAAGGGCTTTAATACGATATATCACTAAACCCATTCCGATGATTATTTGTGGTACCAGATTTTGCGTAGAAGACAAAAAAATATAGCCAACAGATAGTAGGGAAAGAGTCAATCAACGCAAGCGAATAGAAAAAAAATACTGACTTGTTTTTTTTGAAAAATCTCACTTTTAAATGTCAAAGAAAAAATTTCTATAATGCTCTTTGAATTTCTAGTACAATTATTATTGACACTTGTTTGATAAACTTAACTCAAAACCCAAACTTTTTATTCGGCTGGGAAATCTGAAAGCTAAGAACCATTTCCGAAATTAGAAGTCGTTCACGTTATTCGTGACCTTTACACTTTTTCTATTCGATAGTAGTGTTAGCCTTCCTTTTCATATGACAAATAAACTGAACTTAAATAGAACTCAAAAGCCAAACAGCGAAATTGAATAATGAGCCTGAACAAAATTTAAGACTTTTCATGAAAAAAAAACATGACCTAAATAAGAGTGTCCACTACAATCATCGACTCTTAAAAAACTAAAATACACCGGAGCTAATCCAATATACTAACCACTTAGTAGCACTGAATTCTAATAACTATATAATTTTGATATATCCAGTATATCACATACTCTTGGACCTTTAAAAATAATTCAGGAATTATTGTTTGTTAATAAAGCGGATGAAACTTGAACACCGACTTGTCAGAAAAGTCGCAAATTGGGTTGGAAAAATTCGATGCGTACCAAAATACAGATGGTGCTAATGCATAGCCTAACCAACGATGCGCTATTATTTGAACTTACGGTGAAATAGGCGTATAAATTTAATCTTAACCTTAATTTAATCAAAACTCAATACCTTTTCAAATAGGAGCAGAATTCAAACTAACGCCAACTCTTTTAACGCCAACTTGCCCAGCAATATTCCTATATTTTCACATTATTCACTCAAGTTGTTTGCTTCATTTTTAAATGACAATCGAAATACGCGGCGTTCATTTTTTGACGCTTAAAACTTACCTTAAGCCTTGTCGGTTTATTAGCCGAATTCGCCGAAAAAGTTGAAGATTTAGCCGAATCTGTGCTCCTTGCCGAATCTTTCGCACTATCATTCTGCGCATCTCCATTGCTCTCTATATCCTGCAACTCTAATTTCTTCTCATCAGTCGTTTCGGCTTTCTCATCCGTCGGCTTTGTTCCCGTTAAATTGTCTCCGCTATTTTTGTTTCTGGGGTAGTTTTCCTTGTTTTTGTTGATTTCACGAGTCGCTCGTTTTTCGTCGGCTTCTTTTTTCATTTTCTGCTTTTCTTGTTTCTGAAATAGATTCAAAGGCGTCAATATTTTATCAAGGATTATATCATAAGCATCAGCATGACAGAACAACTAAACGAACTTAATTTGGTTCCATGTCAAGCTACCTAGTAGAAAGAAGAGATTCCCTACCTGTTTAATTCTCTAGAAAATGAGTTTGAAAATCATCAACTGCAAAATTAAACATACTGGCCACAGACAAAAACTACTGAAATTGCTTTCTAATAAAAAACTTTTCTCAACTTTCAAGAAAAGTCAATTCGTTGGAAAATGTTGGAATCTATTTCAGGTACTTCTTTGCTTTGGGAAGCTAAAATAAATTGTAGCCTTATTTTACTGGTGGGCCATTTTAGACAGGACTGGACTAAGTTGAAATTTGCAAAAAATATATATTAAAACACAGAGGCGAAGCGGAGCTTCACACTACTTGCGAAACACCATATACAGCACGTCAGCTAGCCCAAAAAAGGAAAAGGCCTGAAATAGAATTTTTTTTTTAATTAAAAAGAAACAAGAATAGCCGGTTACTGTGTAAGTAGCACAGAATTTTCCGACCAGTGATAAAAAATACAAAAAAAAAATTTTTTTTTTTCAAATTGGTGTCGTTTTTTTCTGACCGTCGTGATAAAACAAATCTGAACGAAAAAAAAGAACTCAGGTATATTTAAGAGTCATAGTAAAATACGTCAATTGGGAAACAGTTTTTTGAAGTAAAATGACAAGAAAAAACGAAAAAAAATCAATTTTTTTTTGAATTTTCAAGTTTTTGATTCCCAATATTGCGCTACAAAACTGCATAAATTTCCTTTACTAGAGTGAAACTAAGGTTTCACGGCTTATATTAAGCTTAAATAGGCTAGTGTAAGCCTAATCGGTCTATTTATCAGCTCGAAATTAACCAAAAATCAAAAACTTCAGGCCGGTTCTTCTCCACGCCGTGAAAAAATTCTTATTTTTAACGTCGTTCGAATCACGACTGAACAGGCTTTAATATAATAAATCACTCGACGCATTCCGATGGTTATTTGTGGTGCCTGCTTTTGCGTGGAAAACAAAAAAAACTAAAACACTTTCGAATACAAACTTCCTCCCCATTTTCAATGGTCGGAACAATCATATTTTTAACGTTGGTCTGGAATGCAGTTAATTTAGAGAAAAATACTGGGATACATACTTGCCAGTGTTAAATACGCGTTAAAAAGAAAAATATTATCAAGCGGTTACAGAGTAAACAATGCTTGGGAAGACGACTGTTGAGCTGAAAAAAATGCAAGCTGAAAACAATTTAAGCCATAAAAAGATCAACTTAAACCGAAAAAAAACGATTCAGTTTTTGAAAATTTTTTCAAAGAAAATAAACAAGACTGTGCTCGTATCAGGACGCTGAACTTTCCGACTGCCGTTAACCGTCCCAATGTGAAACAGACTCAAAAAGTGACAGACTAATCGAAAAAATAACCAACTGACCTTAACCAAGTTGGAAAAGAGCAATGAACGCAAGGAAACTAAAAAAAACGACTTACTTTTTTTCGAAAATATTAAACTTTTGAATTTCGAATAAAAATTTAAACGGCCTGAAAGCTCTTTGAATTTGTAGAACAATTAAAGGCGGACACTTTTTTGTCAAAACTAACCCAATTTGAGAAAACTGGATCAATAGGTGAAGCTTTTATTTCGCTGGGAAATCTGATAATTATTTTCCATTTTCGAAATTAGAAGTCGATCACGCTTTTCGTGACCTTTACACTTTTGCTGTTAGATAGTGGAGTTTGCCGTCATTTTAACAACAGAAATGCACCAAACTTAAAAAGAGATCACAAGTCAAACCGCGAAAAATCAAAGTTGAGCGTGAACAAATTAGAATCTCCTATCGACTTTCCAGAAAAAAAAATCAGCAAGACCTATATAAGAGTTTTCACTACGTTCATTACTCCTAAAAAATCAAGAAAACAAGTGAAAGAAAAGAAAAATCATTGATGTGGTAACTAAGTCGACAGTCTTTGGGCAGACACCTGTAGAGCCGAAAAACTTGATTTGAAAAAAAAAATTGAAAAGTTTCAATTTCACCTCCCTGAACCTACAATGAACACCACTTGAGAACCGATCAACTCCCGAAAACCGATCAAAATTAGCTAGACGCTAAAAAATAATATATTTTTTCATTCGCGAACAGAAAATGTTATTTCACTAGTTTTTTATTTTGTTGAAACTACCCAAAATTAGAGAAACTCAACAAATGCATTAGGAATCTTAGCAGAGAGCAACTTAACTTGACATAGCAAAACGATGAACTCGTCTAGCAATTTTGATTGAAATTATCAAAAATTTTGAATTCATTATATTCTGATTTGCTGGCAATTCAGGCTTGTTTTGTTCTCGTTTTTCAATTGAAAAAAAAAAAACTACTTTTCAAAACAATATGGACTAAAAAGCGATGAACACATATTTTCACTTGTTGTAGAAAAACATCAGAAAAATAAACAAAAAAATTGCGAAAACTAATGAATGCAATTACTTACACCAGAACAAATATGAAAAAAAAACAGCTGATTGAACAATCAAAAACATTAAAGGTATAAACCAAATTTATAATGCAAACCGAAAAAAAATGACGAAAAAAATAGGAAAACAAAGAAAAATATGTTTAATTTTTCACTTTTATTACAATCGCAAGCTTAAAAAAGGGTGTGGGAAACGGACTTAGATTTTTCCAAAGCATGTTGTTAGATTTCAACCATTCTTACAAAAAAAATCCAAAAGTAACTGAAAAAAAATCATTCGGAAAATAAGCCGACGGAATTGAAGCCGACACTCAAGTGCCGAAACATTTCGGCACAAAAATACTATTAAAGGAACTCATAACAGGCACAACATACCCATGCCTAACATGCACCCACACCATTAACCTCTCCATTAAAAAACATGTAACGTTTTCACGTGCAAAATCTATTTATGGGAAAAAAAGTCTTGTACCCGATTGCAATAACCGTGCTTATCGCAATGGTAATTAACTTAGACCTTAATAAGGGGGGTAGATAATCGTTGCTAGGTATCATGGGGGGATCTTTTAGAAGGAAACAACTTCACCTCTTTTTCTCTCTGCTGTCTCTCCTTGAGGGCTTTCTCTTTCTGCTCCAAGACTCTCCTCCTCTCCTCGTCTCGCTTCTTCCGCCCAGCTATCACCACATCCACATCTCTTCTCTTCTTATTCGTCGAAGTCTCATCTGCCCCCAACTTAAGCTGCTCATCCTTCTTCTGAACAACCACTAATGATACGCTACCATTAGACAGTAGAACAATAAAAGCAGAGTTTAAGCAGAGATTAATAGTTTGAAACTGATACTTCGGGCAGGGCTATATTCAATAAGAAACGCCACCCCCCCCCAACAAAAACTAAACGTGCCCTCGGCGTCAAATTATGGTAATTTTCAATGGAAAAAAAGGTCTTTATAATGTTTGGAGAGCTCGTAAAATCAATTTGCTCTGATTGTTTATCTATAAAAAGGTCCATAAAAAATTTTTGATTTTTTAAATTCAAATAAGCTCTCTTATTTCTCGTCGGAAAAATCTTAGATCCACCCCTGACTTCGGCAACAACAAATCCAGTATATATAATATTGAAGCACTTTTGGTGGTAACAAGATTGATAATGAAAATTTCCATAAAATAAATTCTCAGTGCCGAGAAAAACCAGTTTGGAAATGAGACGAAATTACAGAGAGACAAAATTACAGAGAGACGAAAACACAAGAGACGAAATTACAGAGAAGAGCCATTATTCAATTTGATTCAATGTAAACTGAAGTTCCATAAATTTTTATGACTAGTCAATTATATTATAAATTTTTGTTTCGTCAAATTATATGGTTACTTTTGAAGCTAGATTTGGCTACTATCTCCAAGCCCTCACATGTACAGTGACAGAATATTTTTTAAAAATTAAGTTCAGTCTTTTATTATTTTTGCGAAATTGTGGGTCTGAACCATATTTTTCTACTTGCTCAAAAAACACTATTCCTTTTTGTTTCAAATTTAACAAAAACAACAATGGTTTAAACCAAATTTATAATGAAAACTGAAAAAAATAAGAAAAAAATTTTTGATTCAATTTTATCTAGCTTATATTGAAGCGCATTTAGGATCGAGAACAATTTATAATCGATAAAATTTTTTTAAAAAAAACTTGCATTCAGCAATTCTTCTAGAAATCATATAATCTATTAAAGCTGTAAATTTGCACGGAATTTCATTCGTAATTTGGTTTTTCGAAATATTTGGCGATCGTTACTTGACTCCAGCGGTTAACTCAACCCGATAAACAGGTTAGACTAAAAATTAACCGCTCCATGCCCTCCCTAAACAATGAAATTAAGAAAAACGAAACAAAAACGACTGACGAAATTTGGGCTTTAAAGCTCTTTTAATCTGAGAATCTTCAAGCAATGACAGTTTTTGCTAAGATAAACACAACATTCAAATGCTACAGATCGTGATTATTGCAAAAGTGCAACAAAATCAGTGAACACTTTTAATAAACACTTATTAACAGTTAGGTTAGAAAAAAAGAAGATTCTCATTATTACATTTCGCTTGCAAGCTGGCTAGTGTAATAACTAGATTATTGCGACTGGTTCGGAGTAGATGGAGTTAAAAAAAATAGATAGCTTAACCAAATAGATAGTGTACTCAATCTAATATTAGTCCATTAGTTAGACCACAATCGGAAAAAACTCAATACAACAAATAATCTGAATCTGTGCTTTGAAAAATTTCTTAACCAATCGTTTAATTATTTTTTTTTCGGCGGACCGAACTTATTTAGCAGGACATCAATAACAAAGAAGCAAAGCTTCGCTTCGCAAACAAGCGAGAACACGACAAATAGAAGCTCTATAAAAAGCTTAAGAAATAGTAGAATTAAGCCTCGAATTAGTAAAAAAAAAAGCCCATACGTCTCGGATTCGATCTGCGACCTATAGATTATGAGTCTCGCGCACTAACCACAGATGCTCAACACATCACAAACATTAGCCATAAACAAATCAGAGAACAGATGCTATGAAAAATCCAATGCTTCAGATCGTGATTATTGCGAATGTGCCACCAAAGAAATGATCACTTCTAGTTGCGTTAGCTTTAAAAAAGAAAGCTCGTACTAATGCATTTCGTTTGCAAGCTCGCAAGTGTAATAACTAGATTACTGCGACTGGTTCGGAGTAGAGGGAGTTAAAAATATAGATAGCTTAACCAAATAGATGGTGTACTCAATCTGAAATTAGTCTGAGTTAGACCACAATTGGAAACAACTCAATAGAACAAATAATCTGAATCTATGTTTGAAAAAATTCCGAACCATTCGTTTAATTATTTTTTTCGACAGACCGAACTTACTTAACATGACAACAGTAACACAAAAATGAAGCTTCGCTTAGCTAACACTAGCGGGAACACAACAAATTGCAGCTCTACAAATTGCTATAAAAAGTAGAATTAAGCCTCGAATTAGTAAAAATTAGCAGTACGTCTCGGATTCGATCTGCGACCTACTGCGTCCTATAGATTTTGAGTCTCGCGCACTAAGCACAGATGCTTAATACATTACAAACATTAGCCATAAATAAATCAGAGAACAGATGCAATGAAAAATCAAATGCTTCAAATCGTGATAATAACAAATTTGCGACCAAAGAAATAATCACTTTAATTTGCGAGTTAGCTTTAAAAAAAAGAAGGCTGGTATAAATACATTTCGCTTGCAAGTTCTCAAGTGTATTAACTAGATTACTGACACTGGTTCGGAGTAGAGGGAGTTAAACATATAAATAGCTTAACCAAACAGATGGTGTACTTAATCTGAAATTAGTCATTAGTCTATGAGTTAGACCACAATTGGAAACAACTCAATACACCAAATAGTCTTACTCTATGTTTAAAAATTTTCTCAACCTTTCGTTTAATTTTTTTTCGGCTGACCGAACTTATTTAGCGAGACATCAATAACGCAAAAGCGAGGCTTAGCTGCCCAATCACCAGCGAGAACACGACAAATAGCAGCTCTATAAATTGCTATAAGAAAAGGTAGAATTAAGCCTCGAATTAGTAAAAATGCGGCTACGTCTCGGATTCCGTCTGCGACCTACTGCGTCCTATAGATTATGAGTCTCACGCACTAACCACAGATGTTTAAAACATCACAAACATTAGCCACAAAAAAAAACAGAGAACAGATGCTTTGAAAACTCCATGCTTCAGATCGTGATTATAGCAAAAGTGCCAACAAATAAATGATCACATTTATTAGCGAGTTAAGTTAGAAAAAAAGAAGGCTTGTACTAATACACTACGCTCGCTAAAACTTTTTTTGTCAAAAAATCACCACAACCTTCGTAAGCTTCTTCTTTACATTAAAACCGATATGACCTAAATACAGGCCCCCTTGCACTCAGTAGCTTTTAATACACTAGTGAAACTAACACTGCGGCTATCCACGATTGACTGAATCAGCGGTGTCAGAATAGCCTCCGCCTCTTTCTTCTCCTTCGCTCGATTTTCTAAATCCAACAACAACTTTTCCTGGTGAGACTTGGCTCCAACATCTTTCACTTTTGCCAGATTATCTGCTTCGTATGTCTCCGCAAACGCCAAATATTCAGTGTCTGCAAAAAAAACAATTGAGAGATGACTTTTTTAATATAAACACTGCCGAATTTACTTGAGAAAACTGTTAACACACTGACGAAGCTAACTAACCGAGAGAAAATAAGAAACACGCAGAAAAAAAATCAATTTTTTGATGTTTTTCAAAAAAAAATCGAATTTTGTCATCTCCATATCTGCATTTTTGTCAATTTTCTAACAAACTCGGAGCATCTTCTTGTTTTAAATGCCCGTTGTATTTCAAATTTGTTTTTTTTTATGGTTGTAAACTTAACAACTCCAATTTAGTATTTTTAGCTATCTCGTTTTTCGTTTATTCGGCTTTAACGGTTTCGGCTCAAACCGTTTTGGCTTAGCGCCTCATTTTGACTCTTTCGATGAGCGAAAAAAGGTTGCTATCTCAGTGTTTTGAGGGGAATTTTATATGTTTTTTCTGATTTTTTTAGGCCCAATGAGTGTCGGTTTTGTTACCGCTTTGGAAGTTTACTTTCGACGCCAAATTAGTATTCAATTGCCTTACTTGGCATGTTTTTTTAAAGAACATAATTTATGACAATCAACACAAAGATGTGAAAATTTCAGCAGATCAATTTTTATTCAAATTGTCGAAAAAAATGATCTACTGATTTCATATCTTCAACTTGGTTTGGTCCTAAATTAAGTTCCCTTCTAAAAGAAAACATGTCAGATAAGTCAATTGAAATGCTAATAGGATCATCAAAAAATTACAAAATGGTAACAAAACCGACACTTGGGCTGATTTTTTTTTTCAAAAAAAACTCGAATCCCCTCAAAACAATTACAAGAACCGAAACCTTTCAAGCCAAAAAAATGAAAACGAGAAAACTAAAAATATATAAACTATATATAAACTATATATATATATATATATTTAGTTTATATATTTTTTGTATTTTTAGTTTATATATTTTTAGTTTATATATTATGTATTTAAGTTTATATATATTTTGAAAACTAAATATATATATATATATATATATATATATATATATATATATATATATATACTATATATATATATATAAATATTGAAATGGAAATACAAGCAACAAATTTCTAATATAACGGGCATTTAAAATGCTAACATGCTCCACATTTCTAGATAAGTTGACGAAAATGCAGGATTGGAGAGGGCCATCAATTTAAGTCACCCTGTGAACAGTGGAGTTGTTTACGGGAAAGACATATATAGCAGGTTGCAACACCCTTGCTTATCGCAAGGTTAAAAAAGAACAGCTAACAAGAAAGATTTAAGATTTAACCTTTTTATAATAAATCAACTCGAACTATGGCAAAAATTGGTTCAAATTCTTTATTCTGCAGGTAATACTTTTTATAAAAAATAAACGAATCTAAAGGAAGCCAATAAAATTTCAAATCATTGAATAAAACGCTATCTTGGGAACATTACTAGTAGTCGAATTTCCACGACCGATAAAAGACACCGATAGCAGAAAGCGAATCAAAAATCATTAAAACTATTAGACGCTTTACTTAATCATTCACTAACTTCAGTTGATTACAAAATTTAAAGTATGAGTTGTTCGAAGTTCACGGGAAAAAGTGTTTTCCGGCTTGAAAATCGTTTGCTTTTAGTCAGAGTAACAAGCAGCATACCTAAAACTCTTATGAAACATTCGTTAATCTAAACAAACCGGAATTGCAAGCATACCGGAATTGATAAAAAGTTAAGGTACGGCTTGCAGTGCGAAGAATGTATTTCGGTTGAACGTTTTGTTTTACTACCTTGCTCTATAGTCGACTGTTTGGTGTCCTGTTTCAATCTCTGGGCTCTCGGCAGCTTAGGGTATGGAGCTAATTCGATCATCAGCTGATTGTCTTCCCACAAAGCTACCATCGAACTCTCGATGGAATTCCATCGCATCTTGGGTAGTTTTGAATCCCATGTAAACTCTTCTGCCCCTGAGATTGGCCCATGCTGAAACGATCGAAACCTGACAATGACCATTGTTCCGAACACGTTTTAAAGTTTTTTCGTAAAATGTTTTAGCCTATGAAAGGTTAAATTGCTCCGTTAAGGTCACCGATAATGCCAAAAATTTGGCATTAACCATATATAAAACCTACATTTGGCATTAACCATATATAAAACATACCAATCAACATTTTGAAGACAATAATGGGTTTCGATCCGCTCATTCCAGTGATCGAAACAATGAGGCAAATGTTTCCAGTCAGCAGTCGAGTCTTCTGCCTCATTCACGAGACATTGAAAGTTCCGTACCACTAACTTCACTGCATCCGACCCTCTCGTCTTTGAATCTGTTTTTTCAGCAGCCATGAGTGATTCGAAAAAGCCTTCGCTACATTTTCTCTTCCTTGCTGGTATCCAAAACCAACAGCTCAAAATCCATTCTGAAAAAGGGGGTTTTAATTGCTCCAGTATCAAATGAATCAAATATTTGGTTAATCGATTCACTCATATACAACATAATTATATATACAAAAAGAACTTTAATTGCAAAATGATAATCAATATTATTAAGCAAGTGTAAGTAACGCATTTTTTCTTGGTGATAGACTTATTCACAATATAATAAAATAATGGCTAGAATTTCAACATCTAAGAACTGACTATATAAGAATAAATTAGATTAGATTAAACTGACTATATAAGAACCAGATGTGAATCTGCGAATACAGTGAAAAAACACTTACTGGACCGATGACAGAATTCACATAAAGCGTATAGTTTTTAACATCATGACAGAATTACAAAAGCGTATAGTTAAAAGGATCTTACCTAACAGTGGAAGCTACAAAAGTTATCGTAAGAAAAACCAAAGGGTTTCCATTCGTTTAACTGGAACCTGTAATACTGGTCTTTTTGTCTATCTTAATTTTTTAAGTTGTTGTTGTTGTGAATTTTCAGTAGGATACTGATGGGATGATATCCCCAAAGTTCTCAAAATTTTGTCCAGTTATTTCGGCACATGTTGCAGTCACAGAAGAGGACCCATGTGCACTTGTTTTGTTCTGAGTATTGATCGTCGAAAAACTTCCACATCGTCTGTATCAATCTTCGCTTTAAGCCTCGCATTTCTCGAAATTCAATTTTCTGATTTAGTCGGTTTAATAGACGGCACGTCCTGAATGTAAACTCTCCTCTAGCTTTTTCAGTTCTGGTCTTGTTTAGGTTGAACATTTCTTTCGTTCTTCCTGGATTTTCAATTTTTGCTGGGAGCATAATGTGATCGTTTTCTTCATGCATGAATTTCGCCATCATCAGTAACTCGTTCAGCTGAAGAAACAACGCCAGAGGCAGGATGTTTAACAATCTCAGCTGCTCTGTATAGTCAGAATCGTTTCCCGTGATCCATTTTAAGACTTTCTTTTGGAACCTTTCTAATCTCCCTAAGTCGCTTCTTGAGATATTGCAAATAATTAGACCATACGTTAGAACAGGAAAAATTAAGGATTTGTACAGACCAAGTTTTATGCGCATTGTGCCAGTCGGTCATGTCTGGAAGTTTGACCTTGAGAGACACGTAATTTTGGAGTGAAGTTTTAATTTTCAAAATTTCGAATGGAGCCTTTCATGCTCAGTTTTCTCGAACCAACTGAAAACAAAAAATGAAAAATCAGAATGACCGAATTAACAATTGCGGGAAACTACTCAAGAAAAACAGCAGGAAATTGCTATTCGCAATTTCCCGATACGAAATAATACAAGAGTAGAGCTGTCTTATCCCGAAATAGGAGGAGAGATAATTGAGAGAAGAGAGGACGATTATTTGGAACGAACTAGAGTGAACCTTCAATGGAAAGGCGGACAGTTTGAGTGTCCTAATGGTTCACACCCAAAAACTCCAATTCTAGAGACAGAACTTACTTCTGTCATTGAAACTGATTAGCATCAAACTTATTCAGTTATATTATCTAATTCTCGAGTTGCTTACTCTTTTAATTACTCCTTGTACTCGAGCGCATCGACATGTGAGTTCCCAATTTAAATTTCTTGAGTGTATTTTATGATTGTTATGTTGAGATAAGGCGAGTTTTAGGTTGATTCATCTGAAATGGATCAAAGTTCCACTGTCCAATAAAAAGTAACTTAACGGATTGTTCCGACCCTGTTTTTAACGGCGTTCGTGTATTTTGGGTATTTCGAGACCTAAGTATGGGGAAGTTCTTATTTTCTAGACTGGGGGGATATTTTGGTAGTAGCCTCTAAGCTGTAACGGGTTCTAATCTCTTGTCGCAAGCGAACCGAATTGGCTCCGACCGTTCTTGAGGTAGAAAAACACAAGAGATAGTGTCCCTGACTCTTGAGCCAATAGGTTATAGGGCCTATTTTTCTTAAGTCTCATATGTGACTGAAGTAGGCGATTGTTACATAGTGTTTTTATGGCGCTCCTGGGTGTTTACGACATCAAGACTACGGAGTCGAACCCACTTGACACAGCTCTGGGCTGCATGCCCATTCTAGAGTACCGGTGGTACGGCTCGGCGGGAACGTGCAAACCTTCGGGTTGTACCGTGATAGCTTTTTAAGAACACTCGAGAAAACTTCCTGGTACGCTCTCCGAACGAGGTTTAGCTAACCGAGTAAAGGGGGGCAACTAGGGGGACAAAAACACGAGCAAAAAGACAAAAAGCGAAACAAAAACCAAAAAAGAATAGAAAAAGGAACAAAAACCATAAAACGAAAAAAGACAGTGACTTTGACACCAAATTAGTTGGATCAAACCTTTATATTAATTAAATAGTATACCCATACTGTTTTATAAGACCGATCATTTCGATCAATCTAGCAATTTAAACCAGTGACTTTAGTAAGGTGCCCGAGTGGGGGGGCGTTGTTAAGGGTTTTCAGATAGATCGCAACCTAGCCGGACCACTAGGAGACTTGACTGGAAAGGGTGACCAGTCGAGTGCGAAAGTGGTTCACAAGGATCGAACCAGACCACTAGGAGACTTGACTGGAAAGGGTGACCAGCCGAGTGGGAAAGTGGTTCACAGGGATCGAAACCGACCACTAGGAGACTTGACTGGAAGAGGTGACCAGCCAAGTGGGAAAGTGGTGCTGCTGTCAAGTGCAGAACAGAGACAACCAGCACAGGATCACTACAAGAGGACGCACAGGGGTGTTCTCAAGTCGGGCAACGGGTATCGTTAGAATCCACATTACATTATAGGAGATAAGTTTAAAATTGGATAAGCGGTGTCCCTTAGTTTTGAGGCAGTTTTTGCTCAAGCAGGCCTGGAAACAGGTCTACGGTTTTCTCTCGAGAAGTTTAGCACCCGGCGCTTAAGGGATTTTTCGGCTTAAGAGGGCTAAAGAGGGGGGATGTTAGAAGGGGGGCTGGTTAGGTTAGAGGTTGGCGGTTGCAAATTGTAAAAAGGGGGGAAATTAGAGTAACTAATTAATCGACATCGTTGATTTAGTTACATTAGATATTTACACGCGCTGGTAATAATAAGTGGATATCCACATTTAACATCGCGTTAAGGTAGATACCCCGGTCGGATCGGTAGGGGGGACGGAAACAGACAGTTTTTGTGATACCCAATAAGATCATTAGTTGGGGGAGGAAAACGCGTGGCAATCGGGTACCAGACATTTTTCAGACAAAGATTGACATCAGTCAACCTTGAATTTCAGGAGAATTCACCCACTTGTTTTTGGAATTTAAATTTTGTTATTTTTTTTTCTCCCAGTTTAAAATTTTACATTTTGGTGAAAATTTGTTGTTGGTATTTTTACGAACAGGTGATATCTGTAGGGGATTTGAAGTTTCATATAGGCTGAAGTTACTGATTAGTATCTGGGTTTCGACCATCAAGATAGGGATTTTGGGAAAATTTTTACTAGAGCTCAAGTGGTGGTAAAAGGTACTGTGGTTCAATAGTCCCTACAACGAAGAAGGAGAGATCGGACACCCAGACACTCAGTGACGAGTCTTGGGACAGTACCGAAGAAGTCTTGGGACATTGCAGTCTGGGGACAGTCTTGGAACAACACAGTCTTGGGACAGTCTTGGGACAGTGCAGCCTTGGGACAGTCTTGGACCAGAGCGGTCTTGGTACGAAACAGTCTTGGGACATTGGTCTTGGGACAGTGGTCTTGGGACACTGGTCTTGGGACATTAGTCTTGGGACGTTGGTCTTGGGCCATTGGTCTTGGGACATTAGTCTTGGCACGTTGGTCTTGGGCCATTGGTCTTGGGACATTAGTCTTGGGGCGTTGGTCTTGGGCCATTGGTCTTGGGACATTAGTCTTGGGACGTTGGTCTTGGGCCATTGGTCTTGGGACATTAGTCTTGGGCCATTCGTCTTGGGACAGTGGTCTTGGGACATTAGTCTTGGGACGTTGGTCTTGGGGCATTGGTCTTGGGACATTGGTCTTGGGACATTGGTCTTGGGACATTAGTCTTGGGATACTAGTCTTGGGACGTTGGTCTTGGGACGTTGGTCTTGGGACATTGGTCTGAGGATACTAACAAGAAGTACTGGGACAACACTGAATAGTCTTGAGACGGTAGAGAGAAAGTCTTGGAACAGCATTAGGAAGGGGGTACTACAAAAAGTACTAAGTTAGGTTGAAGTAACATATTATAACAACATATTCCCTAACATATCCTAACCTAACACATAAAAGTTTGAGAAAAGTTGTTTCTAGCGAATTGTCAATTTCTTTTTCCTTAGAGTTTTAACCTTAGAGTAGAATTTTGTAGATAGTAATACTGTAAAAAGTAACAATTGTAATAATGAGGCGGAGCAGGGTTTCGGTAGCTGAAAAAAGATCTACCGAAGCGAAGACAAAGTATAATTCGTCGCTACGCAAAACAACATCAATGGGTCCGAAGGTAACAAAGAAGAGCTTTTCAGTTAGTATGGTCAGCACGAAGAGTACCACGGAGAATAGAGCAAAAGAGGGCACGGAAGGGGAACGAGTAGAACCCACCATCGAGATTGATCTTGAGACACCTGATCAAAGTGTGGATGAAACAGGGAAGACGGCGACAGAGTCAACTCCAATGCCCAATGCAGAAGAACCAAACCCGAAACCCATAGAGTTATCACCAATAGACAATGTGGAAGACACAGCAGGCAACACGTCAGAAACAGTGACGGCTGAGTCTCAAAAGAGAACGTCTTTTACTGAAAGATTAGCGACGATGGTCGGAATGAGATTGAAGGACGCAGCGGTGGAGGGGACGAAAGTCGAGAAAAGCAAAACATTCGGAACAGTATCCACGAGGACAACAGAGATCGATCAGAACGAGGGTCAGAGAAAACCGGGACCAGCGACCGACTACAGGACAACAGGGGACCATGAAACAACTTCCTGGATTGGATGCAATCTTGAGAAATTCCACATCACAAGAAAGGCCGGCAGCAGATCGCA